CAAATGTCTGACCTACTTTGGAATGAAATCTGAAATACATCATATTATCGAATATTTCACGAAGGATGAATAATTGAAACCAAGCTTGCATTCAAATATCTGACCTACTTTAAAATAAAAACTAAATTACGTAGTTGAGTCGAATACTGCACAAAAAGCGAATAATTCAAATAAAGCTTCTATACAATTATTTCACCGACTGGAAAATGAAATCTAAACTTTATTATATGGTCAAATGTTTTAGACAGTATGAATAATTCAAAAAAAGGTTGTCTTCTACTATTTCAGTCGCTGGAAAAAAAACTCTGAAGTACATAATATGGTCGAATGTTCCATGAAGAATGAACAGTTGAAAACAAGCTTTTGTTAAACTATTTTCCTTACTTCAAACTAAAATCTGAAGAACGTCATATTCTAGAATACTCCACGAAGAATGAATAATTGAAATCAAGCTGGTATTCAAGTATTTCAGTTCCTTAAAAGTAAAGCCTGAAGTATGTTATATGGTGGAGTATTGCACAAAGAATAAATAATTAAAATAACCAAGCGTCAATTCAAATATTTGACTTGCTTCAAATTGAAACATGAAGTACGTAATTTGGTTGAGTATTCCACGTAAACGAAATAATTCAAATCAAAACTCTATACAATTATTTCACTTGGTGCAAAAGAAAATGTTTACTACATAATATGGTCGACTATTCCACAGAGAATGAATAATTCAAAACAAACGTCAATTCAAATATTTCACTTACTTCAAATTGAAAACATGAAGTCTGTAATTTGGTCGAATATTCGATAGAGATTGAATGATTGAAACCAAGTTCCTATTCAAATATTTCACTTAATTAAAAGTAAAATTTGAATAATGTGATCTGGTTGAATATTTCACGAAGAATAAATTATTCAAAGAAAGCTTCTATGCAAATATTTGACTTGCTTCAAATTGAAACATGAAGTACGTAATTTGGTTGAGTATTTCACGTAAACGAAATAATTCAAATTAAAACTCTATACAAATATTTCATTTGGTGCAAAAGAAAATGTTTACTACATAATATGGTCGACTATTCCACAGAGAATGAATAATTCAAAGGAAACGTCAATTCAAATATTTCACTTACTTCAAATTGAAAACATGAAGTCTGTAATTTGGTCGAATATTCGATAGAGATTGAATGATTGAAAGCAAGTTCCTATTCAAATATTTCACTTAATTAAAAGTAAAATTTGAATAATGTGATCTGGTTGAATATTTCACGAAGAATAAATTATTCAAAGAAAGCTTCTATGCAAATATTTGACTTACTTCAGAATAAAATCTGTAGTACCTAATATAATGTTATATCTGACGAGGAATGTATAATTCAAAAGAAGCGTTTATTCACATATTTCACTAAAATAAAGGTAAAATGTGAAGTATGTAATATGTTTTAGTGTTCCACGGCAAGTAAGTGGTTGCAATAAAGCTTCTATTGAAATATTTCATCTTGTTCAAAATAAAATGTGATTTACGTAATATGGTCGAATATAGCTTGCATAATGAATAATCTAAAAAAAGCTTTCAGTCAAATATCTCACTTACTTTAAAACAATATTTCAAGCATGGATTTGTTTCAAATACTAGAGGGAGTTTGAAATATTCAAACTAAGCTTCTATTCGAATATTTCCGGTTTTTTGGTAATAAAATATGAGGCATGTACTCTACTCGAATATTAGATGCAAATGAATAAATCAGACAAATTTTCTATATACATATTGCGATGACTTCGAAGGGAAATCTGAAGAACATAGAATGGTCAAAGATCACACACAGAATGAGTAACTCATATTAAGATTTTCTTCAAATATTCTAGTCACTGTAAACAGTAGCATGTCGTACAGTACCGAGTAGAATCTTACGCGGACCATTTATAGGTTCGATAAAGATTCTATTCAAATATTCTAACGTTTTGGAGAAAATGTTTCGGTTTTACTACATGATGACCGCGTTCGCTGGAAGGAATAACCCGTAGTAAGTTACGATGCAAATATTACTATGACTTCCTTGGAAGCATACAGAGGTTATGACACACTCGACAAATACAGAACAGATGAATAATTAATAACAAGGTTTTTTTGACATATCTCGATGACTTTAAAGCAAGTATTCAGTATTGTAAGTATGATACACGAGCAAAGGACAAAAGACCAATGCATAGGAAGGTGCTATTTAAGCAGTTTAATGACTTTGAAGGAAATGTTCAGATCTGATGACATAATCGTCAAACACACGAGAAAAGAATAGTTTATACTAAGATTCTATTCCGATTTTTCAGCTTTTTGCGAAATGAATTTCTCATGAACAATATGATGAAGAAGAAACCGGAAATGAATAGCTTCAACAAAGGTGAGATCCTATTATTCAGGTAACATTCGAGAAGAATGTTGAAGCTGACAAGATGATTGACGTACACAGGAGAAAAGAATAATCGATAGCAAGATGGCTTTCAAATACTTCCATGAATTTGAAGAAAACATTCAGTATTCATTAGATAATGGGTGAAAACACCGCAAAAGAATATTTATTATCAATAGTTTGTTCAAATATTTTGATTATTTTCAATCAAGCACTCAAAGTTGATTTCATGATCGGCGAACACATGGCATAGAGATAATTCATAGTAAGATTCTATTGAAATATTTTATGGAATTTCAAGTAAACATTATTTACTAATCACAGAATTGACCAACAGTCAACAGAAGAATAATGCATATTCATGGAAGGATTCTATTCAATTTTTTTGTTCACTTCGGTGGTATATCCAGAGCTGTAAAATGTTGGAAGATCGTTGGAGAAATGAATAAGACAAAGAAAGCTTTGATTATAATATTCTGCTTAGTGGGAAGCAAAAGCTTATCTTTTGTATTGTGAATCCAAGTTGCAATGGAAAAGAACTTTGTTTATCAAGCATGTTATCAAATATTCTGTTCAGTTAGACGTCTACTTTTGGTGCTCTAATATTGGTCAAGATCGTGATGAAAATGAATTCATGATACGTTTGCCAAGCAGGAGATCAAGGAAATACCGAAGTGCTCTTTGAGGCGAACTTGAGAAGCTTGCACCATCCAAATTAGCAGCTTCTTCGAATGCATTGTTACATATTACCAATAATAACAATGTAATAAGAAATACAATCGATTTCTTGTTGATAGCCATCTTGCCGATATAATTAAGAAAAGGAAAATGAGTAGATGAAACAGCGCAAACAGGTTTGTGTTTGTATTTTTACAGTGTGAGACTTGCTGTTTATAGGTATAAATCATAATAGGGAGAAAAAGAATAGGCAAAAAAGAAGTTTTCTTTTTTCATTCTTTCTCTTGAGTAAGTCATGCGTGCTACTTTTTTTGCAAACGTAATACCAAGTAATACATAAGCTAATGAATACCCTAATATTAAACAAGAGATAGATATGCGATTAATACCGACAAAAAAACATTATCTCTCTCTGTTGATCAATTGTAACATAAGATTTATGATAAGAAAATATTTAAATATTATAATGTGTCCCAAAAGTCTCTTACTAAAAGTTTTTTTAAATATCTTTGCTATTTTATTTAACTTGATTAACTTTTTTTTTCTAAATGAGAGGTAGAGACACCGAAATTTTTTTGACTGGAATGAGTTCTAAAAGTATTGCTCAATGATACTATCTTTCATCAAAATATAAAGCATTAATCTTTTTTTTTTATTTTCAGAAAAAAATCATGCAACGTTTTTTTGTTTAATTATTTCGACTTTCTAAATTACTCTAATTTTTAAATCATTCAGATCTTTAATGGTCGTTTGGCAGATATTTGTTTGGCTGTTGGTTCATGAGTACAGGATGTGGGTGTGGGTATTTATATTATGATCCAAAAACACCCGCACCCACACTCACACACCTGATCAATTAATTTATTATCGATTTTGTTGCAATAGAAAATTCTAGTCAACACTATCATTTTCAATTTCTTATAAGCATAAAAACATGTTTCATCATAAATATAAATCAATAAGATTGGATTAAGTAAAACATTGCAAACAATGATTTTCTTTTCTTTTCTTTAATATGGAAAAAATTCTTTTTTATCAATTATATCTTTGATTAGAATCACCTGAAAAATATTTCTTTCTCATTAAAGACTTGTCAGAGAAAAATACAGAAGATTGATTTCAAATGAAAGATGTTTTTCTTTCATCATCTCTTTATCAGCAGAACAAAATTAAGAAAAACAAAAGTCATTCTAAAATGATTATTTCTCCGGAAAAGATCGGTTTGAATTAAACATGCTCATTGTAGATAAATTATTGATCTCTAATGTTTTATTGATTCAGTCGAAAGATATTTAAATCTCGAAATATAAAATTACTAATTCAATTAGAATAAAAACCTTTTCATCACTCAATAATTGATGCTTTCATTCGAATTTCTATCATTGAAAAGAGATTTTTTTGGAAGAAAAAAAGCAGATCAAAATTTCTCTTCTAGAAGAGAAGATTTGTCAAATATTTATCTTCAAGAAAAGATTTCTATGGGAATTTTTTTTTAATAAAGGTCAAAGAAGTCGTTGAAAATAAACTAAACTATAGAAATTTCTTGATTAGATTCAATTTTTCATCGAACTTAGAAAAAAAAATCATTGGCATTATTTTCATAATTGAGAAAAAATTCTTCGAAGAATTTGTGAGGGTGTGATGAAGGTCTGAATGAATAGAAGGTTAGTTCTCGTTTCGTCGAAACACTAATTGATTTTCTCGTTTCGTCGAAAATAAATTTTTCATCCATTCTCGTTTCGTCGAAAATGGAAAAACGACTGTTCTCGTTTCGTCGAAAAGATAAATTCTAACTAATCAATGAATAGATTATATCCTTAGATAAGATTTCTTCGTCATATCAATCAGGAATAGCGCCTATTTATTTGTAGGTACATTTGTCAAAAAATTTTTAGTATAGAGCAGATTTGGATACATAAATGAATGGATGGAAAAATGTCGAAAGGGAAAAATATCGAAAATAAAAATGTTGAAAACAAGAATATGAGGTGAAAATGAGCATGTAAGATTGGAGGTGGGGGTACGAAAGATTTCTACTTCAACATACTCTCGTTTTCAGCATTTCTATTCATCTACATTTGTAATATTTTTGCTTTCGATATTTTTTTTTCGACCTTTTTCCCCTTTCGATATTTTTCCTTTCTGCCTTTTTCCACCATACCACATAAATAAGAAATTATTGAGAAAAAATATGAACATAGAAAAGAAAAACATCAAGTAATAAAGTTGGTTTATTACGTTTACTTTCAACAATAGATAGCATTTTTTTCTTTAATAATGAATATAGCAAACAAATGAATTGTCCCTTTTGCTCCACATATATATACTTTTACAAAAATTCAGATTAATAGTATACGGATATCAATTAGTTTCTTTTTAATAAAATAGTTCAAGTCAATCATAGATATTGAGCTTATCGCTTTGGTTATGTCCTTTTCATTACAATTTAATTTTTCGACGAAACGAGAACAGTCGTTTTTTCATTTTCGACGAAACGAGAATGATGAAAAAAAGCGTGTATCAAATTTTTCGACGAAACGAGAAAATCAATTAGTGTTTCGACGAAACGAGAATCTACCGAATAGAAGACTCATCTTCACATCCACATCCTTTACATTTATATTATTAATTTGTCACAAATTCTAATAATCAATAGAGCAGTTTCAAATAAATTTCATTTTCATTGGGAGAAAGAAAATGACCTTATCCGTCATTCTCCTTTAAATGACAATCGATGACCATGATCCAAAGGCTAAAAACCATTTCAATTGTCCTATGATTGTTTGATAGGAAAGCAAAAATTCTTAGTCTAAACACTTGTTTAATAATCGAAGATAATGGTATATGCGAGAGAGAATATATTATTTCACGTGTCTACGTATATGTATATATGTATTCGTTTTCGTTATTCTCAACCAGTATCATCGTTATTTCTTATTAGAAACACGGAAAGAAGAATGAAACGATCATCAGACGACACTGTTTTTGATTAGAATAATAAAAGAAAATCAAAATTCTTCGTAACAACAACTAAGTCAGTTTATTGAAAATCTATTTTTTTAAATTAAATTTCTATTAATTAATTTAGATCTTGTTTTGAAAATTTAGCAATGAAATTCTTTATGAAATATTTGAATATCTTGAACATAATGATATTTATCATGGATTCTTTTATCTTAATGATCGATTTCAAAATCTCCTTATTAATTTAAATATTCCATTTCGAATAAATCTTTCAACAATACCAAAATCGCATGTTGATCTTTATAATAAAAATGTTTTTCAGCCAAATAAACATCGAATAAATATTCTTCGTTTATCAAATCCATTTACAATTGAACTGATTTTTTCTCCACCATGTCTTTTATTTGTGATTTCATTCAAATTGAAAAATTAATATTTGATCATATCAATTCAATATATCTTGATAAGATTGTTAAACATTTAATTCATTTACCTAAATTACATACATTAATTCCTTCTCCTATTGATTATATTCTAAATTCAACTATTATTTTCACTCAAGTATTTTGTTTAAAAAAATTAAAATATTGTAAATTAACATATCGAGTTAAAGATAATAAAAATGTATTACCGATAGATTTTGATCAATATGAACAAAGTTCTATTGAATATTTGATAATAAATAGTCCTTTTCAATATGAATCATTTCAAAAATTATTTATTTATCTTTCAAAACTTCGTCATTCATCAATTAATTATCTTTTTGGATCAAATCATTCACAGATAGATTTTTATCCAATTCATTTAAAAGATTTAAACTATATTTTTTTCGATCTTCATTCAATTCATTTCCATCAATTTGAAGAATTAATAAAAAATTTCTTTCATCATATTAAAGTTTTACGTATTTCAACATTCAATGATTCATCATATTCACATACAAAACAATGGAAAGAATTAATTTCATCTTCAATGCCAAATTTACATATTTTTGATATGAATAATAGTTATACTAGTGCAATGCATCGATTTTTATATCTTTATTTAAGTGGTCAATTTAGATCGAAGTTTTGGAAGAAAAAACAATGGTTTTTTTTATCATCAATATGATTGTCATGAAAGTTCAAATAATAGACTATTTTATTCAACAAATCCATATCGGTAAAAAGAAAAAAATGAATTTTATTTTGTCACACTCAACATCTTAGTATTCAGGGTCATAGATTCAAAAATGCATTTTCATAGATGTCGAATAGAAGAATGACAGTTGGTTAACGTAGACTCCCAATGAAAAGTCAATACTAGTAGATTACTGTAGGGATTGACTTCAAAAAATATCTTTAGTTCTGATAACATTCGAAATCATTGATCAATAAATACATTTGTATGGCCACCTAAAATATTGATTCTTCATTTAGATTGTCTAATCACTTTAAGTAACGTAGAAACCAATAATAAAAAGAATAGACTTCTTTGAATAATTAGAAAAATAATATTGAAAATTATTTCGACTAAAATATTTCTAAACTCATGAAATATCTAAATTTTTTCGTTTTTGTTTGAAAAAGACTTTTCTGACAAATTTTTAACATTTATTTAGAAGAAAAGATCATACATTTCATTGGCAATTTGATCATGACATCGATTATTATCTTAAAAAACATGATTTCAAATCGGTTAAACATATTAATATTTGTAGTAAACGAGCTGTTACCAATTCTGTCATTTATTTTTCAAATGTCATTGAATTAACCATTAAAAATTATGGTAAGATGTATTATGGGTCAATGTTAACAGCTCTTCAGCAAATTCTTCCTTTAAAACAACTTAAGAAATTAATTATTGATTGTAATGATATTCCAGTTCAACAAGTTATAAATTTAATATGTTTGACACCAAATTTACATTTCTTAAAATGGAATTTTCAATCTATTGTTCAAACTAAATTAAAATCAATTGAACAAAGCGAAAATTTTCGATCTCTATCAAATACAAATAAAATTCAAAATTTCCAAATTCTTCATTGTTGTTCATTCGATGAAATTCAAATTTTTATTAATGTATTTCCACAATTAGACTATCTACAAACTGGAGAATTTCGAAAACAAATCGTTCAAATTATATGATGTTTATTATCAAAAGTGGATCATTTATTTTTCTTAAATATTACAGATATCATTAAAACATATTTAAAAAAATGAAATTTTTTAATTAAATCAGAAAATTTATTTGATAATTATTTCATTAAATTTATTGATCATGATTTATATTTATGGTGGTAAATATTTTATTGTTTTTTTTTCTTTAAAACAAGAGAGATTAATTATTGACTTAAATGTCACAAATAAAATGTATTATTATATTTAAAGGATATTTCGAATTGTTATCTATCATAAATATAACCGTTAAGTCTCTATAGAATGTCACTTCAAAGTTTTTTATTCTTCGATGAAATTTAGGTAAAATTTATTCATATGAAATATATTTAATCTCTTAGACAAGTTGAATTTCTAATCCGTCCGTTAAAATTGAATTTTCATCAGATTTTATTTAATGAATTAGTGTTTGTTCATAGGTTACTAGATTAATAAGAATTGTATTAAAAGAAAAAATAAATATTGAAGGCAGATGTAGGTAGGATGTTGGTGTGGGTGTGGGTGGGTGCGGGTCAGTAATCACTTCAATAAACCCATATCCGCACCCCACCCCCACCCCACACCCACATCCACACCTACACTCCACTAAGTACTCCTGTTCTAAACTCCTCCTTCTCATTTTTTCGACAGATTTTGACTAATCGACACTGCGATATCTGTGAAAAAATTCTTTTTATTTTGATTCTCTCGATAAAAGAAATCATTCGATTGGCCGAAAACTTCATGTTTTACTTATCCATCCCAGAGTCCTCGACCTATAAGAAGGTGAGAATCTGAGGACGCTGTTTTGAATTTCGATGTACGCAATAAATTCAAATCGATGCCTTGAAATACCTATTCGATGAACGCTTGACAGATTTTCTTGAAATAGAAATTATACTATCGAATTATTATAGATATGAAGATTTTTTTAAGGAAAAGCGTTAGAAATTTAATTCTCATATTTTCCTTTTCTTTTAATGTGAGAATAATCATTTGATTCGTTTTAGAAACAAAAATTCATCCTATAATAACAGGTATATTGATTCAAATGACAGTCTGAATTCTATAGATAAATACCTGAGCAAAACAGACAATTATGACTGCTATTTGAATCTTCTTTTAAAGAAGCGCAACGAGAAAATGATAAACGCTTTTTATCAAAACAAATCTAAATCGATTGGGTTGTCTATCATATCGACATTTTGCTAGTTAAAGTATTCTTGCAATAATGATAAAGACCTTCGTTATTAATCTACCTGTAAATATTTAATATTTCGATAATTTTATGTACCCAGCTTTCGTTATTGTGTAGTTTAAACATCATCAGATGATTGTGACATCTTTGTGTATCGGAGACTGACTAAACTGAAAAATCCTTCATCTGCTTCGTTAAGAAACAAAAACACGAATTTCTCATCTATGTTGCTCACTTTTCTTAGATGAACAACAACTGCAACATGACATCTATTATTTTTTTACCACATTTTCTAAAATGATGAAATAAAGAATCTTGTTTAGAAAAGGAAGTGGTTTTGTGTGTAGGTCTCCTCTTCATCCATCCACACCTACACTCTCGTGAAAGAGTATAAACGACATCCCTCATTCAAACAGATTTCTCGAAGACACTAATATGTTTTCGTTTTCAAGAAATTTCTAAAGGGAACTGATCAATTTTCTAATTTAGATTGTTGAGTAGGCAGAGGTACGAGTGTGGGTTTAGGCGAAAAAGTGATCCAAACTGACACTCACAACTACCCCACAAGCACAAGTCGATAGAACGGAAAATTCCAACTGTCTACAGTTCCAACTCCAAACAAGATAAGTTTGAAAGGAAGTCGATTAACTTCAACCTTTTCAAATTGGCAAATACTAGCATAATCATAGATAAAAAAAATCGAAAAATGATTTTGGAAAGAGCAATCTTATGAGTGACATTTAATTTGATAGTCATCATCAATCTCACACTTTTTCCAACAAATATTCATTTTATGTTTACATTCGTAAAAAAAAGGTTATCTGTTTACAAGGTAGGCTCGAATTACTATCGAGCTTACTTTATGAGACTCTGTGAAATATCAAACAATTGCATTTTTTATCGCTTTTGTGATTTTTCCAATTTAATCAACGGTTGTTTGTATTTAAACACAGGGCATGCATAGATAGATTGGTGTTTTTTTTGTGCTAAATCTCATCAAACATCTTGACACTAATTCAATTGTCAAATTCAATCGGTATTAGCAGCCGTTTCATTCTGTCCCAATTTTCAGAAAAATTTGATCGAAATCTATGTCAACAATGTCAACTACAATAAAGCCCGACAACGGTGAACAACAGGTATAGAAAAACAGAAAAATCTTGCCATCCTCAAATTCTTAAGGAGGACTCCTCTTCAGAAACCAACTTTGTTATTTTTCATCCGATTTCAACCAAAATTTCAGAGAATGTTAGTCCTGGCTAGAATAGATTATGGTTAAAATATCTCCCGAAATCTGCGAGCTATTCACGAGTTATAGTCAATTCATTGGTCAAAAATACCCTTTACGCGGTCAAGGTTTTCAACATGACGATACCAGCTAAGCATGCCGGCGTGATTTTTAAAATGTAGAGTACCCCTAGGACTAGGTCGTAATAGGACCCGATTTTTGAATTTCCCTGTATTTGATTTTTAAAAATAGTTTTTCAAAACATTTTCAAATCCATGGCCAAAAAAGTGCTAATAAAAATGAAAGATCTAAGTTTTTTATTTCAGCAATAGAGAAATTCAAAAATCGGACTCTATTACGACCTAGCCTCACTTGTCTTCTATGCAATAAAAAAATTACCACTTTTATATTGAGTCATTATTAAGAAAGGTTTGTCTGCGTAAATGGTATACTCGAAATAATTGATTTTGAGAAAAACGGAGAATAAATTTTTAAAAACCTTATTTTTTTCAATATGGACGTTCAGAAAAATCTATGTAATATCCTTAAATCTCATGATAAGATCAATCAACTATAGTGCATTCGAGAGTAGACACTTTGCTCTATCTAATGAGTTATAAATCACAAAATCGATATATTTGACCAAAATTGACGTTTCTGAGGGGGGGGGGGGGGGGGGAAGAGGGTTAAAGAGAACTTAAACATTACAGGTTCCAATTCCAAGTACCCGCTTGAGTTCAGCCTCTGGTTCCGAAGTATGTCTAACAGTTTGTTGTCCTTTCATCTAATCTGTATTCGAAAATCTCCAGAATGCAGTAGACAGCAACCAAAACAGGAGCATCTAGTTTCAAATTTGTTCATTCCATTCTCTCCTCAATTATATCGTTAGAGTTAAAATGTATGAAACTACTAATGCAAACCACGTTTTCACCATCAAGTCATACCTTTTCAATGGGTAATCGTATCACCAGTATTTTTTCACAGAGCTCTATGGAAAAATATGTTGTCTATCTCGATCTGACGCCATAGCCATTCCTTTTTTTTTCGCACTTTAAACATTTTTTTGTGTCTTGTATGAGGTAACAGAGAACATATTGATTTTCTTAAAAAATCAAAGAGTTCTGCATGAAGTTAGTTGGTATATGATGTTAATCTATTCATCCATACACATTCTCAGAAGAGGGCATAGAAATATAGGGTCTATCTGGAAATACAAAACTGATATCAAACACTCAATGATGCCGAAATATTAACATTTCGAAACATGTTAGGAAGTCGATACAATTCAGATCAATGATAAAAATGAGTAAAATTACAAGTGTTTGATACAGAGACGATACAAAATTTTAAATATTTCCAGTTTATGTGAACTAGGTCTTTAAGAAGTCATAGTAATTTTTCATAAATCACTTGATTTATTTTTGAAGTTATCGTACTTATTTTGTTTTTAAAAGTTTAGAGAAGCATTTTTGATAAAGAACCCTATTGCTGGCAAAACTTCTTTCTTTATTCTTCGGCAGCAAAAATGTCTGTTTTATCTAAAATGTTTGTTAAGCATCCAGCCCCTCACATCTTCTATTCGAATCTTCTTCGCACTTTGATTGTCAATCAAGCTTAACATTTGATCACACTATCTGATTACACTGGAAAAAGTTGTTGAAAAAATATCCATGATTGACTTTCTTTCTATTCGATTATTTCCAGTCAGACACTAGATAGTCAAGTATCTGTGATTGCTATTCAATATCCTTAGAGGTTTAGTGATCTTCACGGTTACTAAAACGATTACTTAGTAAACGCATAATTTGCTATTCCTAATAATGCTAAATTATATTAACCTTAAAAGACTAATGCAATGTAGTTCTTGGCTATTGAAAACCACTGTATACCATATCTGATGCTTAGAATTAAACTCTACCGACTATATTTCGATAGTGCTTGTGTTTTGAATAGCACGACGTGTAAGAACAAATCCCAGGTACACATCCTACTTATATATTAGTGATTAACTAGTTTAGCTTGTTTAGGTAGACCACTCCTGCATTATGTGTCTAAGTCCATTCGGCATATTTGATGATCGTATACCACTGACCTGTATCAATGAAAAATGTCGCATAGGTTTTTGTACTCGTTGTATAAATCAGATAAAAGCTCATGATGGTCATAATCGATCCTTTCGCTGTATGTACTGTTTATACGAGTACCCTCGCGACAGTGAACCAACTGAAAACCAGCTGCTTAAGGAACATCTGTTGACAGCTGCAGTCATCAAGTACGGGATTGATCATACGAAGCATCTTCTGTCGAACGAATGCAACCATATCGACTTGAAATTTGATATCCAACTTAGACGCTGGCATTTAGTGAGTCTGATCTTCTCACTCAAAGGTTTCGCCGATTGGGAAATCTCTCAAGAACAAATCAAGGAAGGCGAACATATGGTTACTGAACTCTCTCAAATTGTACAGCGTTTCGACGAGTATAACAGGGATAGTTTAACTCAGATAAAGACGAATTATAAACAAGCCATGTCTGAAGTCGATAACGATGGTATGTTTTATGTTC